AGGAGCAAGTAGCTAAGTAGCTACTAACAACAAGAAGCTACTAGGAGAAGAACGCTACTAGGGGGTCCTGGCCGTACTACAGGAGCAAGGACGCTACTAGGAGCAAAGGGCATTGCTACTAGGAGCAATGTTCTCTTCTTTGTCTTTTGCGAGGAGCCGTGGCGAAGCTCAGCCTCTTGGCTCTCGACGACCGTCGTGGTCCTATCGCCCGGGTGTCATTGCCACCGCCGCAGCCTTGGCGTTTGGCGTTTGGGACCTTTGTCATGATCATACTGTAAGAAGCAGCTTAGCGATGTTGGACAGGTTCTTCTACAGCGAGATGATCGCCCCATTTCTGAGTTTCCATGGCTTGGAAGCTCAATTGCGGGGCTCTTGTGACCGGGATACAGTATATCACAGTTTCAGAATGCGCCAATTTGCAAGTCAAACTCCTGCCAGGCCCAGTTCCTGACCAGCTCTATGTCATTGGCGGTCGTGACAACAACCAGGCAGGCCTTGCAAGCTGGGGATGCAAATTTCAATGGGGTTCTCACAACATGTTCTCACTGGCTACTCAGAGAGGGGTAAGGCATCCCAGACCTAGGACTCCGCAGATTCCTAGGACCTAGGGCCTTGTTTTATAGTGGGGAAGTGGGGAAGCCTCGAAGCTAATGGCACCGGGATCAATGAGATTGGAGTGACCAGGAGCCGCTGGATGTGGTCGAGATGTTCGACGCGTGGAATGGAAGGTGGCAAGACAGTCACACTGCAGTGTGAGCAATGTGCAATGTCAAGACTCTGTTGGTGAATGTGAATGAGTAGTGCTCGAACTTCAGGTGGGTCACGTGCCCAGGAATGCTGGCCAGGAGGGCAGGCCAGTGGGCAACATCATGTGCTCTGAATCCCGTGATTGTTGTGATATGTGATTGTGCTTTGGAGGATGTGCCGCAGCAGCTTTGCCCAACGGCTGCTTGATGGTTTGTGGAGGCGACGTTTTAGGACACTTGTTTCTTTTATTTCTCTTTGGTTCTTTTTTTGACTCTAGACCTTTCCACTTCAGAGCTTTTCTTGTTTCGTTACCTTCTTTCCTTCCTTCCTTTCTGTCTGTTTGTTTGTGCGTCTCCCATGAAGAGTGTTCACTGGAAATTGGAAGAAGCATTCTACTCATCCACTGAGGCTATGATGAACAAGGCATTGTCCGGGGCGTTCTGGACAGCTGCGAGGCAGGTGTCAGTGGTGCACCTAAGCGACTAAGTGCAACTGAGTTGTCATGCAATGGACAGGTCTAGTTCCATAGTGCACTTTGAAGACCAAGCTGTTGTTTGTGTTTTTTCCATTCCTGTCGCTATCTATCCCTGCTTCCAAGTAATTTATGCATTAGTTGAACGCGTAACCCAAAGTAAATCTACAATTTTGTTGGTCTTCCCTTTTGTGACAGTTTATTTTCACCATTTCCTAAGTGCGTAACGAAGGGCCCTCGTTGAACCCTACAGTTCTGGGGGTTGACGCTGTGGTCGCTCGACGATGCTGCCGCCCACAAGAATTAAACCCGATCTCTCTGGCAATTTGGGCGTTTTGAATGGATGGGCCTCCAACCTAAGTCGGCGCTTTTTGGGGTAAACTTTGCTCTTCACTTGCTCTGGTACGTAGTCAATTTTGCTTTGATGACTCGTATCATGATAGTCTTGTTGTTGCAGTGCTGCTGTTGGACTTCCATGTAGAACAGGTTCTGAAAGCGTTGTCGTAATGCATTGGAAGTCTGATTTGTGGAGTGTAGGTCGATTGGCCAAGTTCAAGGTGTAGCGTCTATCCAGTAGTCGAGTGGTCTCCACCTTTTTGGGGTGCCCTTTTGGCTAATAGCAGGGGTTGGTGGGAAAATGTATACTAGGAGCAAGGACGTTACTAGGGGCTCCTGGCCTTACTAGGAACAAGAGGACACTACGAACGGAGCAAAGGGCATCGCTACGAACGGAGCGATCGGACTTTCTTTTGCCTTCGGATCTTGGACAGTTTGCCTAAAGAAAGACATGCCCCTACTAGTAGTAACAAGTGCCTTACTAGTACTAACAAGAAGCTAGTAGAAACAAGTGCC